ATTTTACATATATTATTTTAGTAATCAATTATAAAACACATAATTTATAGTTGAGAATGTTATTTTCAAATTACTACTTCTTCTGGTCTTTTTTGCTTGATGTTTAAAGTTTTTGCGCACCGATTAAGGAAATATTTAATTTTGTTTATATCTAAACTAAAACATCATATATTATCTATTCAACCAGTAAAAAAATAATTTTCAAAATATTAATATCAAAACTAATATAAATTAATTAATATTGCATTAAAAACTTAAAACATCATCTAATTTAGAACAAAATTTTTTTTCTTAAAACATCAACTAAAAAGGAACTAAGGGAGTAGTACTATAGATAAATTATATGGATTTACAAATTAATTTTTAATAAATTCTTAATTAATTTTTATTCATAATCATGAGTACATATTTAACATAATTTATAATATTATGTATTTATTATTCAATAAATTTTGATCTAAAAAATATTCTTTGAACCGCATCACTTGATCCGCTTTTACCATTCACATATAATTTGGACCGCCAAATTTGCTTGATCCGGTTTTGTTCCGTCCCATCCGCTTGATCTTTTTTTGTTCTGTTTGATACGCTTGAACCGCTTGATCCGCTCCGTCCGATACGCTTTCTCCATTCAGAGCCAAAACGTATAGTGGGCTCTCTCTCTCTCTCTCTCTCTCTCTCCTCTCTCTCTCTCTCTCTCTCTCTCTCTCTCTCTCTCTCTCTCTCTCTCTCTCTCTCTCTCTCTCTTTTTCTCACTTATCTTAGAGAGAGAGAGAGAGATGCGATTTTGCTTTCCGATTTCAGATCTTTGATCGAAAATCGGTTTTAACTTACGGCTGTGTCCGGATCTTATGTTTTGTTTATATAACTTCCGATTTAGTTCGGATTTCTATATTTTTAGTTTTGTAGTTTTGGTTCTACTCATCCTTATGGGCTTAATTTGATTTCTTTTTAGTCAGTTGGCTTAATTTTTCCTTCTGGCGTGAGTAGTATCTTTGTTATTCCCTTAGTAGAGCCTTCATATATGAAGCAAACCTTTTCACGGGTTGAAGAATTGAGTTGGCTTTTTGACAAAGGAGAAATCGATTCTCTTGCAAAGTGATAGTTGAAGGAGGAAGGCTGCTCAATAAGATTTGAAGAAAGGCAGGTTGATTCATGGTGCTGTGAGTTAAAGTCATCAGAGATCAACTTTCGGAAACTTTTTCGACCAGCGGTGGTTGTCGGTGGAGTTTCCTTCTCAGAAAATTATTGAAGGGCACGTGTGGGACATGTGTCTCTTGTTGCAATCGTTATCAAAAATCTTTATAAAATGGGCTTATTATAAATTTTCGTTTTTGGGATTCATATCCAATTGTATTTTATGGACCAAATTTTGGCTATTAATGAAAATACTGCCGATAAAAAATAAATAAATGGGTGTGATACGTTGTATTAAGCACAGAAATAGTAAGGTAGTGTTATAAAATATAACGTAAACACAAATAATATTATTATATATTGTACGTGTATGAGCAATAAATTTGAGAGATGGAAAACGTAGAGAGGAAGAGGAAAGAAATGGAACACTTTATGACTTAAATTCTCTCACCTCCTTATTCACATTCACTTTGCTCCTACAAGGCATATATATAGAGAGACTATAGAATGGATAAGCATTTAATAGCTTGGGCAACAAGCCTTATACATTACTTAATTGAGAAGTAAAACAATATAGATAATCTTCTGTAATGGATAATCATAAAGAGATAGATAATTGGGTAGTTATCTATCCAATTTATAACACTCCCCCTTGATTATCCATTACCATCAATGTATTGCATACTGCCTCGTTAAAAACCTTATCATGGAAAAACTGTATAGGATAAAAACCATGATAAAGGAAAAGAGTACAGTAACACAATCTCTTCTTAGAACAGACGAACCTTGTTTTCTTCATAGGTTTCGTAGATGATGCATCTTGATCATTCTCTTCGTTCCTTATGATCTTGTCAATATATAACAAAGATTTTGGAAGAGAGATAGACTTTCACTTTGATGTCTATCTTTTGCGTGTTATTTGCTGCCTCGTTAAAAACCTTGTCATGGAAAAACCTAGTGGGATAAAAACCATGATAACGGAAAAAGAGTGCAGCCACGCTCATCATCATATGTCTCCCCCTAGAAGCATCATCTTCAAAAGATGAATTTTGAATGGCGTAGCAGGTAGCACCTTTGAAATAAAACGGCTACATTGTTACTTGGCCGGATGTACTGGACATCAACTTCTTGCTTCTTCTCTGATTCTTGGGTGCAAAAGAAGAATCTTGGAGAAATATGTCTTGTCATCTCGCTTTTAACATAGCTTCCTTTGAATTGGAAAACATTTGCAGCAGTGCCTTGTTGTTGGCTCTTCACTGGTACCTATATTGCTTGCTTTTTGTATATGTTGAGTGTATCAATCTGAGCCATACAGAGTCTCGATATGCTTCATGGAGCGCAATAATTTTGGCATGACTTGAACAAGCGACGACCAAAATTTGTTGTTGGAAACGCCACGAAGTTGTTGTTTTGCGATATATATTTATAAAGGTCTGATATAGATCCTCCGTCTACAAAACCAACAAAACCCAACTCTGGGTTTCTAGAATAAAATAAGCCCAAGTCAATCGTACTTTGCAGATAGTGGAAGACACATTTGAATTCATTCAAGGTCTAGTCAGAGGAAATGAATTAATCATGCAAGTAGATCAGTAGCAAATGCTCAGTACAATATATTCACAAGATATATAAATGCTCGTCAGCATTTATATATGTTAGCTACAATTCACAAAATATATAAATACTCGTCAGCATTTATATATAGTGTTTCATGATCAAATATATAGAGTCGAATTCCTTTAGAAGTGACTAATATAACATCTCTTTCTTTTGATGTATAGTTGGAATATCTGGAAACACTTTTGTCTTTCCAAGATCTTTTCTTCCAAATAACTCTTTAAGAGTTTTGATGATGTTCAAAAACATCATGCTTATAAGTTCCCGGGAATATAACTATGATATCATATATCTTTCAGGGATTAGTCCTACAGACATCCCATAAGATGCAATTCAAGTCATTATATTTATCAACTCAATATCGAGTGATTTTGACAAAACACGGCGCAACACACCGTCTTGTCTTAAGTATCATAACTCTTTTGATGCTTGGACCATGTGTCCAGGAATTACTCGTTTCTTATACGAATTAATATAAACTGACTGCGTCTTTGTTTATTGGCCAATATATATCTCTTAATCATAAAGAAATTATCTATCTCATTTATAACAGGTAGATCCTTCTACTTTAAAAGTTCTTCTTTAGTAACTTCACGTGTTGGGCTTTTTGTTTGAAAGGTCATTGTCTTTAATGGGCTTTCTATTAGCTGTAATACATAACAAGTTTAAAACGTTTGTTGTCTCTTTGTTTGTTAATCTATATATAATAGCAATCTAATAAATACCATTTGCACATTTGAACGGTTGCGTCTTTTTAATTGCAACCTTTCGTTTAAATATTTACGGTTATTTTTTCTCGCTTGAGTCTTTATATCGCAACTTTTCGTTAAAATATTGACGGTTATTTTTTCCTGTTGTATCTTTTTATCGCAACTCTTCGTTAAATATTGACGGTTACTTTTTGTTGACGGTTATTTTTACGGTTGTGTCTTTTTCTCGCAACTTTCCGTTAAAAATTGACGGTTTCGTTTCTGTCTTTTATCACAACTTTCCTTTAATATATTGACGGTAATGTTTTTTCGGTTGTGTTTTTTTTTTGCAATTTTCTCTTAAAATATTGACGGTTATTTTTTCTCGGTTGTATCTTTTATCGCAATTTTCCGTTAAAATATTGACACTTATTTTTTCTCGGTTGTATCTTTTTAACGCAACTCTTCGTTAAAATATTGACGTTTATTTTTTTTTGTTGACAGTTATTTTTTTGGTTGTATCTTTTTTTCGTAATTTTCTGTTAAAATTGACGGTTATTTTATTCGTTTGTGTCTTGTTTTTTGCAAGTTTCCGTTAAAATATCGACAGTTCTTTTTTTCTCGGTTGTGTCTTTTTATCGCAACCCTTCGTTAAAATATTGACGGTTAGTTTTTTCGTTGACGGTTATTATTTTGGTTGTGTCTTTTTATCGTAATTTTCCGTTAAAATATTGATGGTTACTTTTTTTTGTTGTGTATTTTTATTGCAACTTTCCGTTAAAATATTGACGGTTATTTTTTCTCGGTTGTGTCTTTTTATCGCAACTTTCGTTAAAATATTTACGGTTACATTTTCGTTGACGGTTATTTTGTTGGATGTGTCTTTTTATCGTAATTTTTCGTTAAAATATTGATAGTTAATTTTTTGGTTATGTCTTTTTATCACAACTTTCCGTTAAAATATTGACAGTTATTTTTTCTCGGTTGTCTTTTTTTATCGCAAATTTCCATTGAAATATTGACGGTTATTTTTTTTCGGTTATGTATTTTTATCGCAACTCTTCATTAAAATATTGACGGTTGCTTTTTTCGTTGACGGTTATTTTTTCGGTTATGGTTTTATGTCTTTTTGGTTTGACCCGCTAGAAATTTTCTTCTCTATATTATAACTCTTTGTTATGTATTTTGTCACTTATAAATAATTTTATATTTATAAAAAATATTTCAAAAGTGTTTATAATCATAATTTTTCTTTTTTACATTTTTATTTATAATTTTTTTTAACATTTTTGGGAAATATTTACGATATAACTTTAAATCATAGTTAATATATGTAAAATTCAAATATTTGAATATATCATCATAATTTTAATACATAAACATAATAAAATATATTTGTTAAAAATGAGTTCCCCCGCGATATCGCGGGGGTTTATAACCTAGTGTTATGAATGTCATAATTTCATTATTTAATAAAATTCATTTCAAAAATACAGTTACTGAAATTCAACTTATGCTCAAGAACTTGCATCTACTAAAATCTCCCCCAAATCCTGAAAAATTAGGGTTTCGTGGAGAAATTTGAATCAGAGTGTGAAAATGGAAGGAAGCAAAAGCGAGGCAGTGTTCGATTCCATGAATCTAAATCCTCAGATTTTCATCAACGAAACAATCAACTCCGTCGAAGATTATGTCGACGCAGCTTTGATTTCTATGGCCGTCGTTTGTCTCACTCTCTCTCTTCCTCCATGAATTCTTCGATACAAAGCTTTTTCTAACAAGGGTTTGTTGTTTGGTTCTTACTTACATTGCAGTGAAGCATCCAAATTTCTCAAAATCAATGGATCTCATAAACAAAAGTCACAAGATTTATCAAATGTGAGTTTTGGGTGGATTTAATCTGATTCTTTTCTTCTTCAGTCTTGTCACATTTTGGTATTACGCATTTTAGGGTATTGAACGTGTTCGTGGTTGATACAATCGGTTATTGACAAGCGTTTGGAATTGTGGGAAGCTATTGTGTTCGATTCTGTTTCGCAGTTCCTGATGGATTTCTGTTGCCAAAGAGTGTGAGTCTATGTTCTCTTCATTGTCTCTGTCTCGTCTCTCACTCTTATTACTGTGATTTGCTGATTGTTCTTTTCATCAGGACGAGTCGTCGGTTGTTCATCAGGATGAGTTATGTGATCTAGAGTTGGATGCAGAATTGGATTCTTTAAGGGATAAGCTTAATTTGGTGAGACAAAAAAAAACTGATACTTTTTGATCTTTGGTCTGTACGTTTTCGTTTCTTTAAATGAGATACTTTTGTTTCAGGTAGGAAAGAGGTCTGTGAGCTTGAACTCCGAGCTTTCAAGGCTTTAGAAAGAGTCCTCGGTTTCGAGGGAACTGGTCTTGTGAGACTCTTTAATGAGGCTTTGGAGCTTTATGATGAGTCTTCTGTCAATGAAATGTTCAAAGGTAATCAAGATGCAAACTTATTTAGTTTTGATGTATTGAGATCCTCTTGATTCATTCAATGGAATGATTTGGTTATTGTTTTATATATTAGTTCTTGATGACCCTGAAAACTCTTGTTCACTTAGCCTGTTAGTCATGAACTTCAGAATCGACATTTTTTCGTTGCTGCTAGCTAGTACTCTTGAGTAATGTCCTGTTCTCACTTAGAATGTAGATATGAAATCTCCCTACCATCTTCTGGAGATATACTTCTGATTAATTTTGATGGGATCTCGTTTAGAGTTTTATTATTTGGTATACATTATCAAGTAGTGGTCGTCCATTTTTTCCATTTTCTCAGCAATACCTTTGTTTGTTTGTTTGATGGTCATAGCCTGACTATAGACGACTTGCATCTCAAATAATTGTTTTCTGCCAGAGATGGCGAAAATGGCATCGGAACTTCGTGCAAGCGTGGATAGGCTGAAAACAAGAAGAATGGAAGCCAGTGAAAGCGCTAAAGTAAAGAGGCTAAAGAACCATGGCAAAGAGTTCTCGGCAATGACTTTTGGTAACAAAATTCAACATTGTTGTGATATTACAGAGTTAAAAGAATAATAAGTGTTACATGTTTGTCATCTTCCTTCGTTTTCTGTGGTTCTCAGATGGAAAGCTTGAAGACCTCGAAAAGTTCAAGCCGAGTTAAAGAAGATGTGAAAATTGTTAACCTTTGTAGGAAAACAATTGTGGTTTGTCAAAGATAATGCTCTAAACTGACTTCTTTTTTTTTTTGTAAATGACTAACTTGACATCTTCTCTTTAAAGACTACATCGTTCCAAGCTTACCAAACGGTCACTTTCAGATTAGAATTCACAAAATATCAAATTACGAAATGTCACCAAAACAAAAGGATTGGACAAAAAGAACCCAATCTCTTCCTAGATAGAAGACTACTGTTTTTAAAGCTCAGGATCGACTCATAACTTTATACCAACAGTTTTTAATCGTACTCTATATATAGTTCAAAAACATGGTTGAAAACAAATGGTTTCAAAGCTTGGGCGATGTTGACAAATGTTCCACTCATAAGCGTAGGGAGAGTGGAGAAAACTTTCAGCTTGTACATGATTTGGATCACTAAGAGCATCTACATCGTACAAACATTAGTGAGTGTCTTCTCCTAAAAAAAAAATATAAAGTTTCTAAAAAATTAATATTATAATTATAAATGTCTTTGAAATTATAGACATCAACCTTACATTTTTAGAAGAATATCTTAATTTTAAAGACACCCTAATTATAATATTAACTTTTTTAACTTTATATTTATTTTTTATTAGGGGAAGACACCCAATAATAGTTGGGTGATGGAGGTGGCCTAAAGATTACTTTCTTGTTAAAGTTTTAGCTACAAGAGTAAAAGTTTCCTCAAAGTCTTTCCCTTTTACTTGATGATTTCCGAGAACAACTAAGCATGTCTTGTATCTCTCGATTGAACCATCAGCATGATACTTAATTTTGTAAACCCACATATTACCAAATGCAACTTTCCCGGAGGTAAGTACACAATACTTGAAGTTTTGTTCTTCTCTAAAGCACCAACTTCCGACCCAATCGCTTCAGTCCATCTTTTATCTTTGATTGCTTCTTTGTAACTTTTAGGCTCGTGTTCTACGCTTACAACAACTAGAAACGTCTTGTGCTTCACTGAAGATTTTTGAATGAGATATATAATGTGTAAGTGGGTATAAGGAAATACATTGGATCGAGGAAGACTCTGTAATGGAATCAGAGAGAACGTGACTACGTGAGGGGTATCATCTTGTTTAACGGAATTGTACGTTACATGATCCTTTAATCTAACGGATGGAAACTTTTGTCTCTTACCAACACCAAAAATTTCTTCGGCTTGGGGTGATGCCAACACGGGTCCAATCTCTATTATAGCATCATCAATCTCATTTGGTTATTTATCAAGGGATTTTTCAGTAACTGCTTCAGCCGTTTCTTTCACATTATCTCCAACACCGACTTCGACAACTGAACTTAATTCAACTTCATTCTCGAAAAAACTCCCCCTGTCGATGATATTTGGTGATAATCTGTTAGGAAGCTCACTTAAACAAGGTAATTAAAGAACAAAGAAAATTGAGACTCATGAACGAACTTAACAAGTAAAAGCCCATGCACGACAAACCCATAGAAGTTCAAATCGAGGCGTTACTACAATCAAAATGGATTCATTTATGAAAAATCATTATATTTATTTGCGGTTTTGATATATCTAGTATTTTGAATTTATTAATCTTCTTAACTATATGTACACGGTCAGTATTCAATAATGCAAAATGGATTATTTTATATATACATATGTTTTTTCTGATAAATATGTATATATACATGTTTTTTTTTTTAGTAATATACAGAAAAATTAGAACACTAATTTGCAAAAATGATTAGCGGGGACCTGGAAATAGTCACTTGCGTGCCATTAGAGACATCTTCTATAGCATTTGGCCGTTTGGTCGTCATTGTAATTAAAATAAAAATGATACGGATGACTCGCTAATTTGTTTTAAAAATTAACGACTTGTAATTTAGAGTAGATTTTTTTGTTGGCAAAATTTTAGAGTGTATTGGAAATATTTATGTTTATTTTGACGACGGAACATATAGAAGATGTCTACGCTAAATTATTATTATTTTATCTACTCTCAATTATTTTATGGATACCGATTGCTTTATTTTTATCTGCTCTGAATTATCAACTTCTATAAACTACTCTGAATTAAATTGTTTTCTTAGTTATAAGCCATAAGTTATAATATTTATAACAATTTTTCGCAAATTGTAATAGTTATATTTTACATCGATTTGGACTGAGTTTTTGTACGCAAACATTCACTAGATCTCCCACTACATAACTTAAGAAAAAAAAAAAAAAAAAAGAAAGAGAGATTTATAAACTTTAATGTTTGGACTGAGTTATATTTTACATCGATTTGGACTGAGTTTTTGTACGCAAACATTTAAGAAACTTTAATTTTTAGAGTCACGTCTTTAGAATTTTCTTAAACGTATGGATTTTTATTTAGTAAAGCTTATCATGCATGCATATGGATATTTCATGGAGAGATTTATAAACATTCAGAAAAAGGGACATTATTTCTTTTTAATTAGAAAGAAAAAACTATTAGTTTTATTTTATCAGTAAAATATTTCTATATACATATATATATATATATGTATGTATGTAATTGTGTAATTAATGGTATTGACTGCTCAGACGATGAAAGCCTTTTCGAATGCAAAACAATGAGTGGATTACAAAAGTTTAGAGTCATAGTTATAATTGTCATTTTAGAGTTTTTCTACTAAATCTAAAAAATGAAGTTTTTCTATTAGTGTTTATTGTTTTTTATAAAATATCTAACTACGATCGAGCTCATAGTTATAATTGTCATTTTAGAGTTTTTAAGCCCATATATATATATAAATCAAATTATAAAGTCTTTTTTCGTTAAACAAATGATGGAAAACAGTTATATATATGTGTAATTTTTCATATTTCAATACATCAACCATTATCCATTAGAAAGAATTGGTAAAATTCAGGTAAATATTAAGTAAATCTCGGTGGCTACTTTCAAGATAAAACAAAAACATATGACTTATTTTATGATTTTAAAAAGTTGAGCTTCGGACGAATTCACAAATAATGGAATTAATATCCCTATAAATACAAGCATAATTCTTCGTTTATCTCACAAAAATTTAAACACATTGCTTTCTATTTTAAAATCTCTCTCTTTCTCTCCATGGAAGCTCAACACCTTCATGCCAAGCCTCATGCTGAAGGAGAATGGTCCACAGGCTTCTGTGATTGCTTCTCTGACTGCAAAAACTGTAATCATTCTTTCTCAATTCCTTACATATATATATTTGTACGTGTAAAAAGCTGAAAACAAGTAGTTTTGTGCTACACTTATTATTTATTTTGTAAAAATGAATGGACAGGTTGTATCACATGTTTGTGTCCATGTATCACATTTGGCCAAGTCGCTGATATTGTAGACCGAGGAACCACCTGTAAGTTACTTATAATACACGATATCATTTTAAAAAAAAAAAAAGAGAGAAAGCTTTTGTCAAATTTGGCGGCAACAAGAGAGAATATAATGATAAATAATTGCTTATTCAAAATATTTCAGCATGTGGTGCTGCTGGAGCACTATACACGTTGATAGCCGTAATAACTGGTTGTGGAAGTATCTACTCGTGTTTCTATCGTGGAAAGATCAGAGCTCAGTACAATATTAGAGGTGATGGTTGTACTGATTGCCTTAAACATTTCTGCTGTGAGCTTTGTGCTTTGACCCAAGAATACCGTGAACTCAAGCACCGCGGTTTCGATATGAGTCTTGGTAATTTATTTCTTTCTTTTATACAGATTTTTTTTTATATTTTGTTTATGATTGATTTGTTTAGTGTAATCGCAATACAATTAACATTTGTTAAAAATTAATGTGGTATTTTAGGATGGGCGGGGAACGCTGAGAGGCAACAGAACCAAGGAGGTGTGGCGATGGGTGTTCCAGCCTTCCAAGGTGGTATGAAACGCTAAGATTTGTTTCTTAATGTAATTCATTTTTCATCTATGTTTATGTAATAAAAGGAGGTTTAGTCCTCTTTGTGTTGTATAATATGCAATTGTGAAAGTTTGAACATGAGTGTTTCCATGTACAGTTACAAGAATTTAATTACAACGTCCGAGAAAGTGACACCAAAACAATACTACTCTCTTTCTTCCTAATTAATCCAAGTTTTAGAAAAGAAAAACATATTTCAAAAAGATAATCTTTTCAAATTTTATGCATCTTTTTATTACAATTATTGATGATGAAAAAATGTAAAATTTTAAGAATAATTAATTATTATTAGTTTAGAGTAAGAGAAAATTATTAATCTTATAAATAATACATATATAATTAATTACGAATATATTTTTAAAATGTATGTGTAAAACTTAAAAATTGAACTAACTAGTATATTTGAGATATGTGCCTCATATGTATCGGATAAAAATATATGGATTTTAATTACGAGGCTTTTGCTTATCTTATATAGCAATCAACTATTACTATTTTGAAACCTAACACAACCCTATTTGCTGACCAAATTGGAAACATTTGAAATTAGTTGCATCTAAACTGCAAAAAGACAAAAAAAAAAAAAAAAAAAAAAAAAAGATGAGACTGTTATAAATCTCGTGTATTCTTATTGATTAATGAATGAGGTTACAACTTATATATATACACAATAGGGGAGACAAATCCCAATTGGACTAGGAAACACTAAAACCCACTAAGACTAACATAAACCGTCTTTTGCCTTGGTCGGTTGGGCGAGTCTTCTAGAAGCTAGACATGGGCCTTCTAGAACATGGACATGGGCCACGGTTATGGAGTCCATCCGTTATGTGGTTTACAACACTCCCCCTTGGATGACATAACTGTGTAGATGCCAAAGGATCTCAGTAATACGCTTGGGGATGCTGCCTCATTAAAACCTTACCAGGAAAACCCATTGGGACAAAACCATGGTGAAGGAAAAAGAGTACAGCACGTATTACTCCCCCTGTTTTGGTCATCCGTGAAAGTCCTTAAGTCTCCGCATTCCAATTTGATGCGTGAGCTTCCTCAATGTCGATGTTGGTAATGCCTTAGTGAATAGGTCGGCTGAATTGTCACTGCATCGGACCTGCACCACTTGAACTTCTCCATCCTTTTGTAGATCATGTGTGAAGAAGAACTTAGGTAGGATGTGCTTCGTCCGATCTCCCTTGATGTAACCTTCTTTGAGCTGAGCGATGCAGGCCGCATTGTCCTCGTACATGACCGTTGGTCCCTTCTCATCGTCCATGCCACAATTAGATCGTATGTGTTGGGTCATCGACCTCAACCACACACACTCACGGCTGGCCTCATGTATTGCCAAGATCTCCGCGTGATTGGATGAAGTGGCTAAGATGGTTTGTTTCATTGAACGCCACGAAATCCGCGGTTCCACCGTGTGTAAACACATAACCTGTTTGTGACTTACCATTATGCGGATCTGATTGATAACCTGCATCAGCAAAACCAACTAAACCTTCTTTGTTATGGTTAGTATAGAATAGGCCCAAATCAACAGTTCCTTGTAAATAACGTAAAAGATGTTTAATTCCGTTCCAGTGCCTTTGGGTCGGACATGAGCTAAATCTCGATAGGAGGTTCACGGCAAAATAAATGTCTGGTCTAGTGTGGCTAGCCAAGTACATTAACGCTCCTATGGCACTGAGGTATGGCACTTCAGGACCGAGAACTTCTTCCTCGTCCTTCTTTGGACCGAATGGATCACTATCCAATCCGAGGCTTCTCACCACCATTGGGCTGCTCAATGGGTGGACCTGGTCCATATTGAATCTCTTGAGTACTTTTTCAGTATATGCCTTTTGATGCACAAGGATTCCATTATTCACGTACTCAAGTTGCAATCCCCAACAGAATTTTGTCTTGCCTAGGTCTTTCATCTCGAATTTTTTCTTTAGATATTCGACTGTTTGGGCGATTTCCCCAGAGGTTCCAAGGATGTTCAAATCATCCACATATACTGCTATTATCACAAATCCTTTGTTTGCAAACTTCTTTATGAAGATACATGGACTGATGGGATCATTCTTATAGCCTTCTTTGACTAGGTACTCACTTAATCTATTGTACCACATGCGCCCACTTTTTTTCAGTCCATAAAGCGATTTGTTCAGCCTTATGCAGTATTGGTCTCGAGACCCTTTCTTATCTTTATCTTTGAGCTCAATACCCTCTGGTAATCTCATATATATTTCATTATCCAGTGGACCATATAGATAAGCGGTCACAACATCCATTAACCGCAAATCAAGATTTTCTCTTATTGCCAGACTTATTAAGAATCTAAAAGTCGTTGCATCCACCACAGGGGAGTATGTTTCTTCATAATCTATCCCCGGTCTTTGTGAGAATCCTTGTGCTACAAGTCGTGCCTTATGTCTCACGATTTCATTATTCTCATTTCTCTTTCTCACAAAGACCCACTTGTGTCCTACTGGTTTTATCTCGGATGGTGTCCTTAAGGTCGGACCAAACACATCCCTTTTCTTTAATGAACTTAACTCCACGTTTATGGCTTCTTTCCACTTTAGCCAATCTGATCTTTGAGTGCACTCTAATATAGACGTGGATTCATGATCCTCATTCATTTCAAGTGCTACCTTATATGCAAATATTTCATCGATGTCGACATCTTTGCGGTTCCATTTTATTCCAGACATGATATAATTTATTGAGATCTCATTATTATCTATCCCTTCAGGACCATGAGGATTAGGCCTTTATTGAGATCCAAACATTCATTTGTCATCTATGTTTATGTAATAAACGATGGTTTAGGCCTTGTTTTGTGTTGTATAATATGTTGTGAAAGTTTGAAGATGAATGTTTCTTCAATGTATATTCCACTGTACAGTTACAAGAATTTAATTACAACGTCCGAGAAAGTGACACCAAAACAATACTACTCTCTTTCTTCCTAATTAATCCAAAGTTTTAGAAAAGAAAAACATATTTCAAAAAGATAATCTTTTCAAATTTTATGCATCTTTTTATTACAATTATTGATGATGAAAAATGTAAAATTTTAAGAATAGTTAATTATTATTAGTTTAGAGTAAGAGAAAATTATTAATCTTAATAATAATACATATATAATTAATTATGAATATATATTTTAAATGTGTGTGTAAAAACTTAAAAATTGAACTAACTAGTATATATGAGATATGTGCATCATATGTATCGGATAAAAATATATGGATTTTAATTACGAGGCTTTTGATTATCTTACACTAGTGTAAACTTAAAATAAGAAAATATAATCATTATAGTTTTTCGGATACTCTTACAATCAACGGATCTTTAATTCTATTCCTAGAAACTTCTGCTTCATCAAAATAGAATCTTACATGAAGAAGAACGGAAATTAAACAAAGCAACAACACCAAGCAACAAGGGGCAAAAACAACCTAGCACGAATTGAACGGGACTAAGAAAATCCAACATATCTTTTATTACTTTCTGAATTTACCTTCTTTTTTTTGTTTCTCTATAAAACGATTGAGTTGATTGTAGGGGCTGTGGAATTAACAATTAAATTAACCAAAAACTATTCGGTCAAGGATTCGACACTTATACTAGTCAACTTGTGTGCCATTATACGTCTAAATGATTTAATTTGGTTGAGATTCTAAATGCAAAATTGAACTATTCTACTTTAAATATCTCACTTAAATTTATTTTTTATGTCTGAAACCTACCTCAAAATGTATTTATTTAGTCAACTGTTTCTGGATCCATTTGTCGCTGATTCAGTAATACACCTTCACTAGTTCTCCTTCAACATTAAATTTGTTTTTGGTTTGGTTCGGTCTGATTTCCGATTAAAGCTATGGCTAAACTCGAACCGAAATTTTATTACTTCAATTATATTTGGAATTCAGTTCAAGTTGGTTGGTTTGATTCGGTATTATAAGTGCTCACCTTAACCTTGGGTTTTTTATATTGGGTTCGAAGATAAAACTTTGTGCCTTCAGCCTTGGTTGGGCTTTACACGTATGTTTGATGTTACATTTGTAATTAGCAATTCGGGTTTGGCCATGGCACGAATAAAAACGGCCAACTTCCTTTCATTCCGTTCGAATAATCAACGACGTACACTATGAAAAAGGAGATATTGTATTACCTAAAAGCAAGGCGAATTCCGACAAAAAAAAAAAAAAAAATCCCTCCGAAATTTCCGACGGATTTCTGAGAACAAATTATTTCCTTGTTATGGCGAGATGGTTTTTGCAATTTTTCATGTTTAAAGTTTTTTTAAAAAAATTCCACCACTAACCTCTAGAGGTGTGACTATTTCATCTATATTTCTTAACTAAAGAAGTATACAAAAATATGTTTCTATATCTAAAATAAAATAAAAAAGAATTGTTAAGCTTTTCGAGTTTAGAATTAAATGATAAAATACTATTTAATTCATAAAAATTAAATTATGTTATGGAGTTTGTATTAGTGGAAAAAGTGTTCCATTAGATCCCATTTGACGCTATAAACGTGCAATTGTAAGGTTTGCTCTTCTATTCGCAAGAAGAGAGAAAAAAACAGTTTTGGACATAAATCTACCCTGATTTTGAACAGTTTCTTCTAGCACTAATTTTATACCATTCCCTAATATATGATTATTTTTTTATTTTATTTTTTTACAGACCTCTGATATAATTTTATTATGTTTGATGAATTTTATCTAGCATGTATGTAGAAAATAAACTCCTTAATATACTCTTTTGGCTAATGGATTGGAATTTTTTTGACTACTACAATTGGCTTGACAAAGCAAAACACGTAAAATCAATTGAGAGAAATAATTGTTTTGGCATAATAACATTTTTTAAACCCAATATGTTAAAAACCACAATTTAACATAAAGGCAAATCGTCAAAAGATTTTTAAAAAACGAATACGAAAAACATACACCCATATCCTTGATTTGTAATTCAACCACCAGAACTTAAAAAGTATTATCTTAAAATAACATGAGAAAACTAGTACTGTCCCAAAAAAAGAACCATCCCCATTAGGTTTTAAACCAGAAACGAAAAGGCTCTCTAAGCAACTGGCATTGCGGGATAATCTGTAGTTGTTAATGGGGCTTCCGGTACAAGAGCAGTAGGAGCAACAACCTGAGCAGGTGCGATGTAAACAATCTTCTTTCGGTGTATGGATGATCACAACATCAGGCAATGGTGTCATCGGTCCTAGTTTGCCCTTGGGGTCCCAGTCAAGCATGATCTTCACCTTGAGTCCTAGCACACCCTGCACATGCGATTAACCAGACTCGGGTTACACAAGAGCTCTCTAGATATAAAGTGGTTCAAGCAACAGGTTTCCACTATGAAGAACTGACCTGTCTAAGAAGAACATGCCTAACTGCAGCATCAATGTATTCCTTGGTTGGCTGACCTGAGGAAACCATGTAACCATC